TTCTATTTTCGTATTGATCGAAACTGGTTATTATTAGCGTAAAAAAACGACACGCGAGATGACATGATAATTGAAACAGGAACTCAGTGCAATGAATTATATTATATGAACAGGGTCTACAAATTTGAGTTTTTTTTGTCATAAATAGGGTTCCCCTTTCAGAATCCCAGCAGAACACTCCTACACTAATTCTGGCAGAGTACCCCCTCCCCCCCCCCCCCCCCCCCCCCCCCCCGGGATTGAATCCTGGGATAGTTTAGGAGACGGAGACAATATAACTGCTTTCTAATCATTGTTTCCAGGTGTTTCCTCCAACCTTTAGAGAGCTACCAGCACCTGCTCTAGACTTGTTCGACTTGGACGAAGCATTCTCTTCTGAAAAAGTCCGATTGGCGCAGATAACGAACAAATGTAAGTCATCAATCATGATAATAATATTATAATGATAATGATAAGTCATTTGAATACCATGTAATAAAAAGTGTCCTATTTCCATCCGTCCCTTTCACGCTCGATAAATAAGAATGGGATAATTGCAACCGTGTTCGGTCAAAACAGAGCAGAAAGAAACTGGCAATGATGGTGGGAGGGAGGGATAGATTGAACGCAGTTGCTTGTCGGAGAGGGTGTGCGAGAAACCGGACAAAAGGATTACATAGGAAGCCGTCAATACTTCACTTGCTACTAAAGGCTAATACGAAACTACGCGAGGTAAATTTCTTAGTATAAAATCTAGCGTCTCCATTCTCTGCGATCACACAGACACATACGACACTGGGTTCACATAGACACATACGACACTGGATTCAAACAGACACATACGGCACTGGGGTCACACATACACATACGGCACTGGGATCACACAGACACATACGACACTGGAGTCACATAGACACATACGGCACTGGGGTCACATATAAAATCTAATGAAAAAGTTAACTAACGAAATTATACAAATTAGTGCAAAGTTTCTTATGTCAACGGTTCACTGAACTTCAAACTAATCTGTGCAATTCTTACGAAGTTTTTCACCGATATATGGTATGTATTCTATTACTATACAAGCAAATGCCAAGTAGATTAAAACAACGTGTCGGGGTGTTAGTGTTGCTAGCCGCAATCGATAAACGTAAGACAAGTGCAGTAATTAGGATGAATAGGGACAAGAGTAAAAGGTGGCAACTAAAAAAAATAAAACCTAAACTTGAAGCAAACATTTTGAGTAAAAAGAAAGGGTACAAAATGAGAAGCGAATAAAACAGTGAATGAAGTAAGAAAACTAACAAACCTATGCGACAGGAATGAGACCAGGAGAGACTCAGGCCCCGTCCACACGTATCCAGAACTTTTTGTATCCGCAAATTATTTTTTGCGGATACGAAAATGTTTGCGTCCACACGCAGCGTATTCGAATCGTTTTCACCGTCCACACGTGCCCGTTTTCGTAAAATTTCCGGATACGGACACAAAAATTTGCGGACACGTGTGGACGCAACCCGTATCCGCAAAAAAAAATTGGCGGATACAAAACATTTCGGATGCGTGTGGACGGGGCCTCAAGCACGTGGAGAGGGTAAATAAAACTAGGTGACAAAAAGCAAATTATAATATAATAACCACCCAGAAGTAAATAATGATTGTAAAATAGCTATGAAACGATGATAAAGGTAATAAAAAAACACTACCGTGCCAACTGCAAATTGTAGGGAAAGGTAAATGTTACACATGTGAAATAGGGAGGACACCTAGACAAAGATTTAAAATAGATTCACCTCAAACCTCGACATTCTCAGGCTGTTCTTGAGCATACGAAGCAGAAACAGGAATACGAGCAAGAAAATAAGCAGAAACGCGAACAGGAGGGTTATCTAAAATTTTGAGCAGCTTCCACGTTATCGGGGCTGGAACTTCCATTGAAAAACGTCAAATCCATGTTGCAACGTTCATACGAAACAGCACGAGGTTGATCTTGGGGGAACTGTATTTATACTCGCTCTGTAAGGGACTGGTACGAATAGGTACTGAACGTATGCCTCCGTTGACACGAGTGAAAAACGTCTGCGCATGCTCTGAATCCGTATGCAAATTAGTCAARACATAAGTAAATTGGACTTTCAAACATGCCTGATAAATTGGACTTCACAAAATGCCAAACTTAGTGTCCATGCTTGAAACTTAAGACTAATTCTTTCATATTGTGTTTGTTAATACAGTATCTTGGTCTGACAAAAGTATACTCTCGAACGTTTTTGTATACTTGGAGAAAACAAACATTTATTTTCTCGCTCAAACTCTTCAAAATTCTTAGAAAATGTGCTGAAACGTTTTTCTCATGAAAAAACCATAACTTTGATGGTCTAATATATTTGGCCCTGCCTATAAGGTTGAATAGTGAAGTGGGCCCTTCTCAATCTTTAATGCTAGGCTTAAATGGAAATCTGAAAAGAAATGCCACGAATTCCATCGAAAAAAATTCTGTTTTATTTTTTATTTTCATGTATCCTCTTCACGATAATTTTGAGCAAGGTCCATAAGGGACCTTAAGCTACAGGACGGCAACGACGTCGACGACGACGGCAAGAAAACAGCGCTAAATGTGATATTCAATATCTCGTTGGAATGTGCGAAACACTGTGCATAATGGCCGTTGTATGCTAAAATGGATAGCATCAATTTCGCTGACATTGTTGCCTGCTTCGCCGTCCCTTTCGTGGTCCCATTCCATTTCTAGACTAAAAAACTCTTCCTATTATTAATCATTATTTTTTTATTAATTTCTCCCATCAGGTACAGAGGATGATCTCGAGTATTACGTACGAGAGTGTGGGGACATCCTAGGGGTTACCCATAAACTCCCTATCGATAATCGTGACGCCAAGCACATACTAGACCATATCTTTCATCAGGTGGTTGAGTTTAAGAAATTAAACCAGGTAACAAGTTCTTTCTACTCTTGACTGCGTGATCAATATTTTCCTGTTCGATAAACAGCAAACAAAATACACTATTCATTTAATAATAACTTTGCCCCTTTAGACTATATCCTTACCTTGGGAGTCAAAACAATGAAAAAACATTAACTTCAAAAGAGATTTCTATCATGAAGAGGAGAGAAATCTTTCGTTTTGAACCCCAGGTTGGGAACTAGTGGAAGAGATCTATACGTTATTGCAATCATTTCCAAGAGAATGAAATAACAGAAGACATGACGGCCATGTTGGTTGTTAGACTAACTTTTATGAGCACATTTTTTTCCTTGCAGGAGGTTGATGATACAACAGGATTGACCAACTAGACGTTCCAGTTTTATCATCTCTATTTATCTTCTGGATAAAAACACCACTCTAACGTCAAGATGCTATATCATTGAAACCTCCTGTATAAAGAACCCACTAGATTGATATTATTTATTAGATGGATGCA